GGGGGGGGGGGGGGGGGGAGGGCGCGGCGGCATCGGGAGAGTCTTTGCACAGGGCGCCGAAATAGCTAGGGCCGGTCCTGGCAGAAAGTAGCAGACCCCGTCGTTTCCAGTCAGGCAAGAGTGGCCTGAATGGCGATCTCGAATAACCTAAAAACGGGAATAGCCGATCTTCCACTCGTTCGAGCGCAAGGAAAAAGTTTCTATAAGACAGTCTGTATAGTCGGCTCCCAAGGCTATTGGCTATCGACCACGTTTTACCCTCTCCTTCCCTTGCAATTTCACACTCAAGTATCATTAATCATGCTTCGCCTGAGAGCTTGGTCTATTCATCGCATGAGAGAATTACGATCAGTCCCCCACTGATCGCAATTCTGAATAGAATAGCTCTTAAAACTGATTTTTTTCATCAAACTTTTAAAAACCTTTTTTGGGATGGTATGTAGTTTATTTTTGGAATGTAACTCGAATTCCTGTTCCCCCCTCCATGATGAGTTATGAATACGAAGGGCGATCCAAAAGTTTCGGAAATTGACCTCTAGAGCGCCACCTGTTGAACCTTATATTGAAACGTGTGTTGGAGTAGTGGTGAGTCCGTTATGTTTAAAATGATATGACCTTGACCAATGTAGGGCCCTTCAGTTGGCTCCCAGAGCAGTTTAAGTGAGGTCGTGTCTAAGTGCGTCTGCGGTAAGCCTTCACGAGCAAAGAGTTTTTGTGAAATTTTGCTTTAAATTGGGCAAAAACCGTCAGAAACTTGTCAAATACTGACGTAAGCTTATGGCGAGGACGCAATGAGCAAAAAAAGAGTTTACGAGTGGCATGAAAAATTTATGGGCTGGTTTGAAAGCACTGAAGACACAGAACGTTCGGGTTGTCCTTCAACTGCAAGAACAGATGAACACATTGCCCTCATGAACGGATGAATTTTAGTGACCTCATTCGGTCGGATAAGCGAATGACCATCCTTGATGTAGTAAACCTCACGAACCCCTCCTATGACAGCTGTTAAAGGATTCAACTGCAAGATTTAGTACCTTCAGACTTTTTTTTGTTTCCAAAAATGAAAACCAAATTGAAAGGACTTCGTTTTAAGAGCGTAGAAGAGATTCAACAGAAAACGCTGGCGGTACTGAGCAATATCCCTCAGTTGAAGCTATTTTGAAATATGGAAGGACCGGTGGACTCGCTGTATCAACCACGGAGGGGACTATTATGAAGAAGATCATGCATAATATTTTGTATTTCATCTTTTGTATTGCTTATCAATGAATTCCCGAAACTTTTGGATCGTACCTCGTATAAGTGTTGCGCATTTAGAAATTGGAAGACCTGGATGAATTTTAGCACGTACAAAATGGTGTTTAGCAGTTTCAGTAGATTGAAAGCTCCTATTCCGGTATTCTAGAGGTTTTACGTTATTTTCCTCACACGAAATACAAAATCAGCGACTGGATCATGCTGAAAATGAGCTTAGGTACAAGCAATAGGAAAAGATACTCAGGGCGTTCTCTTTAATTAAAATTGCGATAAGAATGAAAGGCAACATATTCCAATACCAGGGAGTTTTGTACGCAGTTAATATTTTTTCATTGTAGACTGGATCGGAGTTGCAATTTCAGGGATTTCCCGAAGTTTCTGAGCTTTTCATTGCTCGGAAATTAATAAGCCCTGTTTTCATCCCCTATTTCGTTTCTGCCATTCGATATCGCGCTTGCGAGGAAATTCTGCCCGTAGACGAGCTCCGGATTCCGTTGACGACCTTGGGATTCTCGTCACAGTATTCTAAATTCCCTTTCGCATGAGAGGGAATCGGAGAGGCTGCTCCCTTACGAAACGTTGAAAATGAAATTTCCTTGCCGAAATCTTCTCCGAAATGAAATGCGTTCCTCAAAGACGGAAAATTTTCCGGCTTACCGGGACTGCCTTGCTTTTCACCGGTTATTCCGGCAACACACTTTGTTTTCAGAATGCCGAGAATAATATGCAAACAATCTCAAAGCGGGTTATACGAGTATAAGGTATAAATATGGGTCAGCATCGGTCAATATTGGTTCTAATTTAATTTCATTCCTGTGGGATTTCTTTTCATTCCTATATCATCCCTCTCCGATCTCACAACGAATTCAGATGGGATTATTAGATTGATCTATCGGGGGCATATACATTTTAAATCAAGCATTTCGGGCTAAAGACTATTCTTTGGAATAGTATTCAAAAATACACTCTTATTTTAGCTCATGCTTATTTTGCCTATCTTGAATAATTAAAATGTCTATGAAAATATCTGCTTTTCCCGAAAAAAACAGCCGAGAATCCGTTTGTCTTCCCTCTCGTGAATAAGATGCAGGACTTATCGTATCAGATAGCGGTTAACGCAATCAATTCATGTGCATTATATCATTTATCAGTTTTTTGCCATTAATAATTCTATGGACGAAGTCAATCCGTTGAAGTGAAATGCCCTCTATGTGATGATTAAGGGGGGTCCTTACAATTTGGTCCCACCGGGGACTCCATTCCGGCGAAGTAGAACGCTCGCAGACTAATACGACAATAAATCAGACCCTTCTCTGACGTTATCTGCTTCCTTACCTGATCGATGCATCGAAGGAACGGGAGGAAAAGAAGACGGTCAGTGCGGAGGGAAAGAAGAGACTGAGAATAAAGGGCGGGGAGGATGGCATGAAATACCAGATGGGTGGGATACGGTCGGAGCTCTCAGGCGCCGGCTTCATCCCTTCGAAAAGCCCGGGAAGCACCCACATTCCCCCCTCCCCTCCCCCCCGTCTTTCATTGATCATCCCAATCAACTGCATCGTTTCCTCTCATCATCATAACCAGTCACCCAAGGGGTTTCCACAGTGCGGCGATACCCCAGGGGTGAAGGAGAATTACGTGGAGAATCAATGAAACAATTCGGGCAACTTTCGATCCAAGGGAACTTTGATGATGAGACTCTCGAGTCCTTGCACGATAGAGTGTTTCCTAATGTTTCCAACGAAATGGAATATTAGTATTATCGACGAGCGCAATCTCCAACAAGCTAAGCAGACACACATGTCATATTTGAGAAATAAACGAAAATTCATTGAAACCTTCGAACGTAGATTCCTGGTAAACCACGAAAAGAAATCCTTCACGGCCTGATAGCCAGGATCAAGGCGAAGCGATGAGCATTCAGATTGTTCGAGAAGCTTAAAGTTCTGTTTGAGGCCCGCAGAGGCCTATTAGGCGTAGAGAGCTTCGGGAAGAATCGTCCACCCTCGAGAGGCCAAGAGAACAATTGTCTTTTGTAGTCGGAAAAGGAGCCGGGAAGAGGGAAGCAGGACAAGGAAGGAAAGAGAGAAGGAGATCGATCCCATTTTGGGAGTTCCTTGCATGCTTGAGGGTTCATTCTTTTGCCCTCTTAGGCATGTCCTAATTAAGCTAATTGACAAGCAACGCCCCTCGAAGTAATTGCATCCTAATTTTTCTCTTTTCCTTTCTTTCCTCTCTGCGCTCCTTTGCCAATCAATAGACTTTTCCAGGAACCAAGTCTTCGTGTTCTGTGTGCACTTGTCACTGAAAGTTGTACTCCCAAAAAGTCCTTGAACTATGCCTGCAAAGTAATCAGGGGACATGACTCCTTAGGAGAACACTCAATATGCGCCAATCCGTTTATGCTCTATTAGACCTGCCTGAGAAGAAATCGATTTCCGACGGAAATTCGTAGCAGTAATGTCGTTTTCCCATCCCCAATCAGTCAACGATAACAGTCAGAATACATTTCTCCTCTTGAAAACAAACACAGGAATTCAATGCGTAGCGTCAATTTATTGAATAAAGAGCTTTTTGCATTCAACATGTGAAAAATGCGAGAGAGCACGTCCAAGAAATTTTCTGTCCTGAGATATTTCCGAAACAAGTAGGGAAAAAATCAAAACCACTTGCGTATTGTACTCGGCGCTGTCTATACATCTCGATGAAAAACGCATCCAAAACATGGCAAAATTGCCAAAGCAGTTCCACTGACATCTCTCTCTGAAGCTTGCCGCCACAACGTTGGAACTGACGTCGCGCTTCACCTGTTCCCTCAATTTCTTCTGCGTGGTCGACCGCAAATTTGCCGTGGAAATCTCTCCGTCGCCTTCTGCAGCCTTGTTGAACTTAGGTCGCACGTCACGAAAACGAAGGCGTTCGCACGGAACTGGGTCTTGAGGTGTCTCGTCTGCGACGCTCCAGGGTATTTGGGGGTGTTGAGAGGGAATGCAACCGAATCATGAGCTTGCCGGAAAAATCCATGTCCAAGGACGAAGCAGCGTTTAAAAACTAGAACCGAAGCAAGGCATTTCGCACCATTTCAGCTGATTATTGGCAGGAGAGGGATCGTGGACGCAGCTGTTGGGTTACATAAAAAAAAATAATTTTTATTATTCACAACGTTAAGTGAGCTGAATCCCTTTTAATCCGGGCGTTCGGCGTGGAGCCTTGAAGCTAAGCGTTTTAATCTTACTTTGGCCTTTGAGAGAAGCATCCTCAAAAGACAAAGGGAAAAAGCAAAGTGATGAGCTTCATCAATTTTTCTGCTCGTCAAAAATATTATTGTCTTTGATTAAATCGGCCAACGAAGTCGAAGTTCCCGCGTGAGGCTTCCCTTCTGAAAGGACAAACCCGCGCAGTTTCTTGTAAAATCTTAAAGCCGTGGGGACGATCAGGGTCTCGTCGAGAAGTGCCAACGGATACCCTCCTGAAAAAAAAGCAGAAGGCGCTTTTAACGAATATCAGCAGTTGGATCTTGTATTCCCCACCTCCAGCACGACGAACCTGTAATCAAACTGACGACGATGCAGGTGACGAAAGCGGACGAAAATCCGATAGGACCCAGCATCAGGTAGGACATGTCGTACACGTGAGGACTGGGGGTAGACGAATCCTTTGACATTCCGATTCCTCGCACGACACTTAAACATATTCAAGAGGGGAAAACGACTCACTATGAAGGCGGTGCCGGATCTGATAAAGAGAGGGAAGTGAAATTGTCGTAGAGGGCCGAAGCAGACAATCCCTCGACGAGAGTGAAGTTCGGAGGGCACCCATCCACGGACGACGGTAAAGGTGGCTCCGGTGGCACCCCGTGCACCCTGGCTCCGATTGCAAGCCACCCCGTCGTGCTCATCCCCGTGAGCAACCCCAAGAAGGCACCCTTGACATATCACGCAGTTAGGCGTGCTTCACTTCGAGAAACGAGAAAGCTCTCCGAGTTGTTCAAATATTCATTTAAATGGACTAGTAGCGAATGGGGAACTACTTTGAGCGGTTTTTGCCAGCGTAATCCAGACTCCAACAGAAAAAAAATTGAAAAGTAAGACCAGCTAATGAAATTGCATATATTTCCCCCACTTGATAGCAACTGTCAGCGCTACCTACAGCGAGCGAAGATCTTTTTCCCCCATGGTTCCATTTTCATGGTCAAGTGTGACCGCGGGAATTAATGCACTGTATATTTAATAATGACATATGTATTGTCCAAGAGAGTCATCTCCCTCAACTTCGCTCTTGATTCGTTTCAGCGGGCCTTAAGAAAAAAAAAATCCGTCACTGTGCCCGCCTGTCCACATTTTCATCGTCCGACGATAACTCGAAAAAGATTGCCTCCATCCTGATGAAAATCGGGATGCGGACGCATGGGCTCGGTTAAGGCAGGGATTTCTCTCCTTGAAATCCGGGCCAAAAAAGTCCCATGGGAAACTGCATTTTATTTAGCAAGACTTACGGCTCCACATTTCACACCCGCATCTGGACCATCTGACTTTAAGTGCCCGCGGAACGAACGGGGAATCGAGAATTAATACGGAAGAAATTGATGTTTCTCACATATTTGTTGACGAAGGGAAGATACATAGAAGCGATGAAGACGGCAGCTAGGGGACTCTGAGTCATACTGGCGAATATTATCGCGATTGTCGTCACTCCCAATTTCAGCCTGGACAACACGAATGACAGACCCATCGCGATGATCCCGTATCCCAGGGCTGAGTAGATGGAACCGTATTTTATTGCACTCGTTTTCCTCGATTCCACCCTTTCCCGAAAGGCATCCCGATTGGAAACAGACCGAGACATTTGGTGAGGACGCTGGCCTGGAAGTCCGTCAGTTTCTTTCGCAACGAAGTCAGCATGATTCCGTCAACATAGGTCACGGCCGCGAGGGAGTTCAGACCGGACGATAAAGTACTATTCGACGGAAGAGGACCAAAGACAGGAATTTAAAAAAAAATGAAAAGACAAAAGGGTGAGTTGATTGGATTAGAGGAAACACCGACCTGAGTGCTCCGCTGAAGAGACAGGCGAGGAAGATGCCGGGCAGACCATGAACGTGACCGAGTTTGTCCATGACGTAATAAGGGATGATCTGATCCTTCTTCGTGAGGACACCGGCCTTGAGAGGATCACAATTGGCGTAGTTGGCGAAAACGACTAGCCCCGAGAACGCCGCCAGGACCCATAAGATGATGGACAAGGGAGCGTTCCACAGGTAGGCCCTTCACGAACGGGAGACACATGCGGATTGTATCTCTTTGTACCCAGACGAAGGTAACTGCTCGAAAGCCTGGAAGCATAGACTCTCACTTGATGGCAGTGGAGAGTTTCTTGAGGCTGCAGTATCGCTGGGCAGCAGATTGATTGCATCCGTGAGCGACCATCCACGAGATCCAAAAGTGCACCACCAGCTTCCAGAACGTGTGTCGTTCGTACACGTCCAAGGAAAAACTGCAAACGGGAAGGACGGAAAATAAGATGGGACCGGAATTCTATTTCCAAAAAATAATAAGCATCGGATGAAAAACTAAAAGGGCAGACATTTTAAACTGTGCTCTGTATTTCCAGCTGTGAAGCACTGAGTTGACTGAGTCGAGTCCATCTCTGCTTACGTTGTTTTTATTCCTGCTCCGCGCCTAGATGGTTTTCACCTTTTTTGATGGATGGATATCCCGAAAATATCGACATTACGAGGAGTCGAGTGATGAAACTCGACTCAATGGTAGGCTCGAGGCAGACGAGTGACTGGATCGGTAGTGAACTTGATCTGGTTTCGAAACCAATTAAAACCGGCATATATCTCCGAGTGCTCGTTACTGGCGCATTTGGGGAAGGGAGATCCTTCGGCACTCGGCAGATTCGAGATGTCGGACGTTAAAAGAACCACTGCGACGAAGATCGAACCCTGGCATAGAATCTCCGAAGTAATGATGAGGGCCAAATTGCCTCTCCCTTGGGAGGGGTGGGGGAAGGGGGGACGGGTGGGGAATGGGGGGAGGGGTGGGGAATGGGGGGGGGAAGGGTGGGGGGGGGGGGGTTTGGGGCTTCTTGGAGTTAGACCGAATTTCGCTGCTAAGGGCGCATTCGTGGGCTCTTGAGGATGGTAGGCTTGGTAGGCTTATCGTGAGTGTCGTGTAACTCTGGTGATATGTTTCAAGGCTTGGGAACGCACGCTATTTCTAGGTGTATCTTGCATACGGTATTTATTCCTTACTTAAATCAAGAAATGCAAAAGGGACTTCGATGTCGGGCGCAAGTTAATGCCATATTTTCCACACGAGGACTCCGGAAATTTCTTACAGAATTAGCTCGCACTCATCAAAGCCCATCTTAGCCCAAAGCTCATTTAATTATCTTCCAGGTGGCGGAAAACCATGAGGACGGTGGAAGGGGGTCGACAGAAAAGCTCCAGTGTTCATACAATCCTCTCAATAGTATGAGAAAAAAAAATTTTTTTTTTTTTTAAATCAAGAAAGCACTGAAGAGAGTCTGAGTCATATACCTGGTCCAGTCCGGGGCAGCTCATAAGGTAAAAAAAAAAATCTGGATCTTCGTACTCTTCGTACCGCCTCAAGAACCTCGAAGAAAAGTCCAAAATAATGTTCAGATGCGTCTAATGTTGGTCACTCGACAAGAAGGCCTGGACTATCACTCGCGCAACTGAGACACGAGAACGACGACGATAATCGGCTGACCGTCAGGAAGGAGAAAGTTGAGGACGGAAAGCATTTACGGATTCCCAGCACGTTCCTCGATCAATATCCGACTCGTTCCGGGTCCAAGCATCAGGAGAGTCACGAAAACTCAAACCGAGCTCGTCGTTCCTCCTGTCGGAATCGCGTGAGAGGCCCTGACGGCGAAATCCTGTCGTCGAGATGGGATCATGGTGCTCGCGTGAGGTCGTCTCGTTTAGGAACGTGCGATTCGCGCCAGTCTCAAGTCATCGTTCTTCTCGCTCACACGTATTACTTTTCCTTTCCTAAAATTTTTTTTTCTTACTTTACCCCTCGACTTCCTTTCGTCGAAGGTACACCTATTCTCGTTTTACCGAGAGTGCAGCATTATTCGCTTTGACCATCTCATACCAATGACACTTTCATTTGTTTAGTCAAAACTCCAATATCTGTTCCTGATTCGGGAGGTAGATCCTTTCTCGTTTATTATATATTTTCTTATGTTCAGAATCTAATCGTTTGCCTGAAACACGTGGTAACCCTAGCGTCGTCTTGGGAGAAGCTACGATACTACGAAGATCTGCATATTAGCCAAGAACTGGGCAAGATTCACAGGAAACACCCCACCCATGCGTCGTTTACTTGTGAAGAATTTCATTTCAATTGCAAATCACACACGTAGTACCACGCTACCACGTGGTAACGTACGAGAGAGAGAGAGAGAGAGAGAAAGAAATATATACATATATATACAGTATATATATTTTTTTTTACCAGGCAAGAAACAAAGCCGAGGTGATAATCGTTTCTTCAGCACCTTTCCTGATCTAAGAACCACATCTGAGTCACATCATTTATCATACACGCTTCAGACCTACATTCCTCATCATTCATAGATGACTTTTTATCTGAGGATCCGATCGCAAGGACAAGTCATTCCGCAGGCTTCACGGGCACCATAACAATCCATTTTCGAGGGAGCGTACCACCACTGACCTTCGAGGCGCTGAATTAATCACCGGTTCAGGGACTTGGACTCGAGAGGGAAGTTCATGAGTCATATTCCTATTGTTCTTTGTGACGAAGGGCAATGTGCCAATACTTTTTTTGTAAAGTTGGTAAATTAGATTTTCTAGGGTTCGCTGCTCCAAAAATGATCGGAAACAATGGGAAGATGAGCGATAAAACTTGGCGTACCTTCAAGATCGAGTAAACGAAAATAGAGTTTGAAGCTGTTAATTTGCTAAGCCACAGTAAAGGCTGTGATTATGAATGCATGCGTCTACAAAGGAGGCTCAGGGGCTTTTCCGTAGCCCATTCAAATTAAAAAATCAAATCAAAATAAATTATACTTATTTAGATACTTATGCTCCAACATTCCTTACATTTACGGATATAGCAATTGACATATTTTTCTCATTTTCATTCATGTATTTAGATGTTCATATGCTTAAAAATATACTACTCGAATTCTCTTCAAATTGGGAGAATCTTAATGCTTCAAAGAAAAATGTCTTACCTAAGTGCAAATATATGATAAAAGGTGCGAGAAAAGAAGACTGTATTTCGATAATGCTATCTGCAACGAAGGAGCGACTGAGACCGGTGTGTTTTTAGGAACCCTGATTCCATTAAGTGGCATTTTAAATAAATGTGAGAACTTGAAGTGTTTGTATATGGCCTAGAGACAGGCAGCTTTCGATTCCCGCTCTTTGTAAAAATATTTCCCGGCTTAAATAGCTCGACTTGGAAGTCCAGCGGGCATTTAAAGCACTAATTTGAAAGCGCCATGCATTGGACTCCTCGATATAAGAATTAAAATTTTCAAGGGCAAGTGACAGAAAATCTCATTTCGCTCTGACGCCCCATGAATTGGGGCGTAAGTGGCAGGCTTTTAGCTCCTCGATATAAATATTTCAAGGGCAAGAAACAGACCAGGGCTGATCGATTCCATCAGCTTGACCTTCGCCACGCCCTGACCCTCCCGACAGCGAGGGCAGCGAGCGAAGGAATGCCTCTTTTTTTCCTTCAACTGGATGTTTTTTTACGTGTCTCGTGGTATTCGTCAAGGGGCGAGGGCCACCGGCGGGGGGTAAGGAGGAAGAAGGTGCAAAGGTGTCTTGCGTGCCACGAGGAAAGTTAATTATGTGGCGAGAGGTTTTCTTTCCTGTCTTTTAATGGGGAGGGACGAGAGGTTTTCTTTCCTCCTTCCGACCAGAGACGATTGGGAAAAAAAAGAAGATAGGAATAAACTCGTGGAAAAAAAAACTAAGTAAACAAATACCGAAGAAGAAAATATGAAATAAAACTACTAGCAAAATTGCAAGGGTGATGCCTACTTTGTTTGAAAACACAATACCGAATGTCTGGATAACTCTCAGAACTCAAGCTTGAGAAGAGTACTTTATTAGTGCTATTAAGAGAAGTCTTACTTCCGACGAGGAAAAAATCCTAACTGTCCCTGCTGGGACATTTACCATAATTTACCTTAATTGAAATATATTTAGTTTTTTCCCTAGGGCAAGGATATTCGATGTTTCGGATTGGTGGGTCACATAGGAAGTAAAAAGAATGGTGCGGGTCGGATAGCCAAAACTTCTTTTTTTTTTTCAAAATGAGGAACGCAATAAAAAGGACACTTGAGGTACCACCCAACATGCACTTAAGGTACTAAGGGAAGATGAAAATCGACCCCCTTAGAATCAAATTCTGGCTTATAATTATTGTAGAGGACCCCAAGGG